ATGAGGAAAACTTTAAAAATTGAAAAATTGATAAACATACTAATAACCATTCATTTGAATGGTATACATGTATATGTATGTATATATATATTCTATATATATGTATGTATGTGATAGATCAAGTTAAGAATGTAGAGATGATGTCAAAAGAAGACCAACCACTAGGTGATCATTAGGTAATCAGTATCGTCAAAAGATGAAAACGTCAGTAAATATCAAATGCTAACGACTAATAAGAGAGACAATAAAACAAAAATTATGTCATAAATGTCCAAAAGTAACTCGAGGATCTGAAGCCATATGAGCTCATAAATAACATTGTTTTAATTGAAGGTAAATTCCGAGCATGACAGAATTTTTCTGTGATGAAAGATTTGTAATGTCTCAAACAAATTGCATTAATGATACATAAATATATGTCTTCAGATCAAAATGGAAAGCGTGGGCTAAAATGAAAGAAAATATCAAAACAAGGGGTTAAAGTGTACGTTACGGAAGTCAAGGGGCCAAGTGTATATGTTTAAGAGAAGAAGGTGCTAAATGTCAAGTCCCTCAAAGTTAAGAGATATGTTGTCAAAAATGGAAACAAAATCATCTAAGAGCGACAATTGTTCATGTTCCCGTTAGAGCATAAACCACCTAATTAAGGCTATATGTACGTTGAGTAACTGACGTTATATAATTGCCTAAAAAGGCATTTCAGCTTTATTTTAGTCACTATTTGATATTGTACAAATGTAACATAAATAGTCTTAAAGTCAAACGTGTTTGGATACGAGTTTTGAACCAAATTCTAGTAGGTCAAAACGCATACTAGTAAAATAAAACGACCTATCAAAAGATTTAAAAAAAAAAAAAAAATCAATAAATGAGTAATATTTGTAGAGTAATAAATCTAGAATAACTTGATCATTTGTATTTGATTTACATTCATTACTTTTTGTTTTCGTTGTGAATTGAAGATATGTTTTTCATATTGATTTGATTTTGGATTAAAGTTTAATTATATCAAAATAAAAAGAGTAATTAAAACGAAGATGAAGAAATAAAAATATCTTTAAAAAAAGTCATGAGTTGTAATTTGATCGATTGAATTAACACCGAAAATATATTAAGAAAGAAAATTATTTTGGATGAAACATGCTACATATAAAAAAGTCAACTTACAAGTATTCTCATTTAATACAAACTGTCATCCAACGAGGAACACGCCTCCATTTATATAACTAGTTGCTCAATTAGTGTTAATATATATATTTATTTATTTATATACACGTATTAGTATAATTGATTAAATAAAAAAATTCAAGATAGTTGGAGAACCATAAATCATATGTTGTTTTACATTGTAAATTAATCTTAGTAACATAAAATAACATATTAAAACATATGTAAAACAATATTTTTAATCGTAGTTAAGTTTATATAAAATAATAACGTAAAACAAACATATTAAATCATGAAATTGTAATATTTATATAATATGGTTTGAATATTTCCAATTCATTTAGGAGAAAAGAAGTAGATTGCTCCATATTTAATGGTTTCAACTGAAAAACCCACCAAGTAACCAAACCTCATATTAAGATTTATTGTCACATAAAATGTATGCCTTGTTTTTTAATCATTCGTTTTCACATGTATTCGTCGTTGATAACAAGTATTTACAGAATTTAATAATATTGGATCCATGCAATCAGATTACAGGTACTGAATGGATTCATGTTCGAAACATTATTACAACATTAATTCACCCACTTACACAGATTGCATTGGATTTGTGTGATCATTACTCAACTCCGTTGAATCGGAAGTGGGACCATCCCGGCCAGCCGGCTCAGCAACGGCGAGTTCCGACACACCGGACAAGTAGGATGAGCCTTTAACCACGTGTCTATACACTTGCGATGAAACAAGTGACCACATTCCGGTAGTAACCGGATGACATCCGCCGCTTTGTAATCCGCCAAACAAATAGAACAACCGGAGCCATTGCCATCGGCACCCTTTTGAGGCGTCATAACCTCCGAGTAGACAAACGCCGGAAAGGTCATGAGGACGGCGTCGTCAACACCTCGAGAGACTGCCATAAGCTGGTGGCCGTCATCGTCAGGCGGTGGTGATTGAGAGCGTCTGTGGCGGCTGCACAAGTAAGAAGCGTAGGACAGGGTGATTAGAAGGACGAGGATGGCAAAGGAGAGTCCGAGGACGTAGGTGATGTCTGCGGCGGGTTTTCCGGTGTCTTGGGTGGTGTAGGAATCGGAATCTCCGACTGTCATATTGTATTGTGTGTGAGAAGGAGTTGCTGATCAACATAGTTGTTTATATGCAAAGATAAGGTCCTTGACCTTTGAGTTTAACCAAACACTGATTATATTGTATTATAGATGCTAATCATATCCATATAATATACGAATTATAAAAATATTATCGACTTGATTATACTATTCAGGCTTCTAAGAAATAATAACTCAGAATTTAAATTAAAAAAAATAGGAAAATCCAATGAATTGAATGAAATTCGCAGAATATAATATTCGGATTAAAAAATGAGTAATTATTGTTTTTTCACCTTCTTTACCATGGCTTCCATTCCATCTGTATCTCCTAATAATTATAATGGTAGGATTCCTCTTTTGACTTTTCAACAACACATGTGTTATGTGTTGAATAGGTGAGGTGGGCATGAATATATATGTTGTTCTTTTCATGTTGTTTTGTTACTTTTCTTCTCCACTTGATTTGAAGTTTAAAGTAAGTTATGTTATTCATTTTAGATATTTCTGAATGAATTTGTAAAAGCATTTCTTCAACTTCTTTGAAGAAGATGAATATACGACAAAAAAAAATTAAAAAATAAACATAAATGGCAACCCCTACCCCTTGATTGACGCTCAAAACCCTCTTCCTAGGTCAGCCTCTCTTCTCTCCTATAATCGGCAACATCGATGACTCAGGTCATCGATGCTTCTTCCCTTCTCTCTCTCTCTCTCCTTTGAAGCCACTTCATCTCCTTCCCTCACTCCATATATCCCCATCAACCGTAACATCTCCTTCCCCACACTTCCTATATCCTATTAACGGAAGCCCCTGCATCTCATCCAAGAAAAGCATAACCCAAATCCAAAAGTGAGGGAAATCCTAATTTCTTGCCCTAACCACAGACGGAAAGAGGAAGAAGCAGCTTGATACAATAAAAAACCTTTTTAATGACGGAGATGGTGGAGGATCAACTCTTGATCTAGGTAACTCCATCCCATCACCGTCAACTTTCTATGTTTTTGATTGAGTTTTCTAGTGCTTTTGATGATGCTTCAACCTCGTCACCATAAGCACTTTAATTTCCTCAAGCTTTTTTGTTCTTCGATTGGGATATGATCGATATTGTTGCTATTTTGATCATATTTTAAAGATTTGATGAGTATTTTCTTGTTTATGCATATGCATTACCTCATTATAGAAATTGGTAAAATGGATTTGTTAAATAATGTTTAATTCATTGAGGGGTAAAATAGTCAAATCACCTATTTGGATCATTGATTCAAAAGAAAAAAACAATACAAATTTATCCAAACAGACAAATTTACCTATACATGGCTTAATAGAAAAATTGGTAAACGGCCCTTAAGCTGATAAGCTAACTAATAACTGATAAACTAGCTTATGAACGAATAATGTTTGACAAAAACTAACTGATAAGAATGTAAAATAAATAAAACAACATCTTAAAAAAATAGTTAGCTATATGAATTCAAAAATGAAGTTTTAATAAGTTGTATTTACTTATAATTTTAAATTTTAATTAATTTGCATCAATAAACAGTACTTTATGTATAGAAAAAGCTTTTAAAAGTTTTTATTAAATGCTTTATATATAGTATATATATGTGAATAAAATCAAATTGATAAACCTCACATATCCTAATTAATTAACAACTTTTTAAAAAATATAATTAATAGTTAAATGTTTTATTAAAATCATTCAACACAATTTCACCATCAATTAAACAAATTACGCATAACTTTAACTTTATTGTAACTTATAATAATAATTTTGAAATTGTTATATTA